AATACCCCCTTAAGTTTTCGGTGATGGAGATCTACCAACTTTGCAGACTTCCCCACAGATGATACAAGAGTAAAAATCTGCCTGTTTAATGAAGGCCAACCATTTTGAACTTGGAAAAGCCAAAGTGCTGTTAATAACCCGATTTGTTTTGTGTTTATTTTTTCCACTTGTTCTGATCTTAGCCCAAAAGCTGAAAATTTTACTTTGGAAAGGAGTAATTAAATTCATAATATATTGAAGTGTGCACAGGAAAGTATTTCTTGGGTGAGGGGAATTGGCATTAAAAAATGCACAGGCACTTTGTAAATTAAAGAAGAGGTCATGATGCACAACTTTGTTTTTTAATGTAAAGATTCTCAAGAGAGTAGTGGGCCATGTTTTAAAACATTGTGCACACTGGCTTTCAAAGCTCATGATATGTTTCCCATTTGCAATGTTTCTTCCTTTTTCTGCATATTTTCCTCTCCCCATATGGTTATTATTTAAAAATGTATGGTAATAGCCACTGAACACACATGCCAGCAAAATTATTGTATGGCCTCTTGAGTGCTGGTGGCTTAAAGCCTGGATGAACTCATCTTTGATGGGCCTCTCAGTGACTGATTTAAATTCTGAAACTTGTTTCCTCCCTGTTATGTTTCGATAACAAAAGCCCCTTCGCTGTTTCTTTAGCATTTGAAACACCAAATGCATTTGAAACACCAAAAACCAACCTTTTTCAGATTTTTGTCAGCAATTCCAATGAATCATCCCCACCCACCAATTTGCCTCAAACCTGATAGAAACATTCATATGCTAAAAATAAAACTTGTCTTTATATAAAACTGGTTTCCTTAAAAAACCAGCTTCTTTTGAAAGCAAGGCAGACACACATCGGCTGACAACTCCTTCCCCTCTGCCAGCATATTCAAATAAACAAGACAAAAATTTTCGAGGCAGTCTTTTTTAAAATATATATAATTGGTGAAGAACAGAAAAGTAAGAATGATGCAATGTTATGACAGCAGTAAAAACAGGATTCCTTATATTAGAACTCTTGGCATCCTAGTTCTTATTTTTACATTTTTCAAGCAATTCTGTAACTTGTGGTAAGTAGAAATAAGATTATAAGACACTCACTTGTGGAATTTATGAAAAGCCTATACTTTCCACAAAGAACATTCCTCTCAGGTCCCCACAAGAGATGAACTGCTCTGGAAGCAACCAGCAATGCTATCTGGACGCATTCTTGCACTTGTACAGGTTGTCCTCGACTTACAACAGTTCTTTAGGGACCGTTCAAAGTTACAACGGCACTGAAAAACGTGATTTATGACCATTTTTCACACTAATGTGAATTTTTCACACTAAAGCATCCGCAGGGTCATGTGATCAAAATTCAGATGCTTGGCAATGGGTTCATATTTATGACTGTTGCTGTGTCCCAGGGTCATGTGGTCCCCTTTTGCAACCTTCTGATCAGCAAAGTCAATGGGGAAGCCAGATTCACTTAACAACCAGATCACTAATTTATCAACTACAGTGGTTCACTTAACAACAGTGGCAAGAAAAGCCGTAAAAATGGGGCAAAACTCACTTAACAAACATCTCATTTAACAACAGATTCTGGGCTCAATTGTGGTTGTCAGTTGTGGACTACCAGTATAAGAACATCTATACACATAAATGAATGGGCATCATTATCTGCTGGTTCATTTGTTAATAAATGGTTGGGCAACTTGCAGGTCTACAGCCATTGGCAACCACTTTGGTCCTTTTCATAGCACCCCACTCTGGATTTGATGAAAACATCAATGTTAGCTCCCCATCATGTGGAAACAGAAAAATACTAGTTTAAGTCCTGATACAAGCTTGATAGGTTTTTTTTTTTAAAGAAACAAAGAAAACGTATGCCTTGGCATGCTGACTCTTTAGAAGGAAAAAAAAGATTGGAAAGTGAATTAGCTACTCTACTATTAATATAATACTTGATAAACTGTGCAGTTTGCAGAACTCCAAAATTCCCACTAGATCATCAAACACTCTGGCAACAGTAGCTCTTCTACACATTAACGTGATTAGTTAAACAGTAAAATAACTCAGAGGTAGTTTCATCTCTATAATATTTTGGTTTCTATGCAGCCAGCTCTGCTGCTGTAAAATATTTGCTGTACTTCAGAACTCTGGGCACACTACTGGCAAAGCACTTCTCTATTTTCCTCCCTCCCAACCAATTACATAATCAACATGTCATGTGCTTAAAGATTTAGTCAACAAATGTCTCAATTATATACAATACAGAGGATTGTTTTTTTTTCTTTTTGAAATGTTTTCACTTCAGTTGCTCTTTCACTTCAGTAGCAAGCCATCCCTTTTTATTTAATATTCTCCATGAAGGTAAAAGGGGCGAGCAATTGCAAAAAATCAGTCCCTAAACACAAGCCCAAAGCAAGCCCAATCAAAGATCAAATGAGAAATGTTCCTTCTAGAGATAAACAAAGGAGGAGTTAGCAATTCCAAGCCAAATTGGAACTGCAGAGAAATCCTACAGTACTGGAGTGCTGCTTGTCCTGTATATGTCTGCATGGTAGCAGAACTAATAATATTAAAAAAATACAATGCAACAGTACAAGTAAACATCTTCTCTCTTTCAAAACCTCCTGAAGTCCATTCCAGGATACAATGTGCTGCAGTTTACAGATACTTGCAGATTTATTCATGTTAAGCAGCCTTTTAGGGGAAGAATGCCAGACCCCCTTAACATGAAACACTGCCACTAACAGCAATTCCCTAAAGACGTCATCCTTTCCTTGTAGCCATCAGAAACAATTTCATACTAGAGGATAAAAAGAAGGCTAGGAAGGCAGTATAATACAGCACAAGGGGAAGTAATTTTCCCACTGAAGCAGAAACATTCAGCACGTGTTTCCCTCCCCAATTCTGATGGTTTCCTTGTTGCATCTGCTTTTGCAGTGAAGAAGAAAAACCCAAAAACAGAATGTGGGGAGCACACTAAAACTACAATTCCAATCACTTCTACACAATGTCAAGACACTGTGGCACTTTGGCTTCGGGAAGAAAGAATGAACTATCTCAGATGTCAGCAGGCAGAACAAAAGGGAAATTCTTGGCAGTGGGATCCTGCCAGCCCTGTATCTCTAGAGAAAACTGGTCTTCAGAATTTCCTCTGTAGCATCAGCTGGGCTGAAAATTAATTAGCAGAAGCCTTCAGAAGCCAAAGGGAACTTGGTAACACAGGGATGCAACAGTAAAATCAGAGTGACATTGTTTAGTGTTCCTATGTGGAAGAAGTTATGTGATATTAAAACATTAATATGCTGACAGTCTCCAGTGAGAGATTGTTCCTTGTTTGCACACAATCCTAATCCAAGCTCTACATTCAAGGTGGTAATGGATTTAGAATAGGGTGTCCATCTTCCAGGAGAAGACTCTCCTCTAAAAATCATGGCTATACCTGCAAACATGGCTCAGATCAAAGGCATCAAACAATTATTCTGGCTTCAAAAGAAGTAGCCAAGGGAAGAATTCAAGGACTATGCTAAGTAAAGCATTTTCTGTTATGTCGCAATTCCACTGAATAAAGACTATAGCAAACATAAGATGGCCTTGTGTAATGCTTTGCCATTGTGCTGTCCACGCCTAACTATCTAGGCTTGGATTGGGTTGGCCCATCGAAGTCTATTTTGCTTAATAGTAGACCTCCAATCTCTCAAGCAAACTAACTCTAAAATCCTGTGAATGGGATATGTCAAGAACTGAAGCTGGGACTGCACATACTTTCTGCTCTATTCCTAAGTAATGGCCCCATCAGAACCTCTTCTGCTTTTTACTAGAAGCTGATGCAAACCATCCTCAAAGCGCCAAGTCTGTTCCAAGCCTCAGAGGAAGACACCATAGTTCAGCTGATTTCTTGAAACAGGACTTACATTTCAAGATTTAAATTTTAAGAGATATAACATGATTCCAAATATGGAAGCAAATAAAGCAAATAAAAGGAAAAAATCAAATAAAAATAAGAATCCAAAATCTATTGTACCTCATGCTTTTCAAAACAAACAAACAAAACCCAGAATGGCTGACTTGAATTTACTACAGAACTACATTTTAAACCCATCATTATTCCTTTCTCAAGAACACTTTGCAAACTGTGCAAATTAAAGACAGCTAGACAGTAGATGACAGGTTAAAGGCTTTGCACCCAGAATATAGTTCTGAGTTAGTTTTCTGTGCTGGATAGCTTATGAACTGCTATAATAGCAATAATTCTATTTGCATTATTTCCTCTTAGGAAAGTTGGATTCATTTAAATATCTCTAACAAAAGGCAACATATTTGCTTGCACATGACAACTAGAAACTGAATCACTGCAATTGATCACATAAAAGGCATTCACATATATTAAGGTGTTTCTCCCATTCTCTAGGAAAGTTCTTGGTGCTTGCTGCAATCTTCCAAGATAGGAGTGTCTGCAGGATCTACACTTTTTGTCATGATGATGAAAGCAATGCTGTACTGTAAACACCAATTTCTTAAGTGCATGCCGTGTTCTCACACTTGTAGAAAAGGGATGGAGACTGGGTGTAATGCTGCTTTCATCATTTGCCCTCTCTTTCTCTTCTGCAGAAACCTCTGTTCCCAGGGTTCTCGTGCATTACAGATTCACTATGGACCACCCAGATTATAGATATTTGCCCTAGAATAGCAACAGGATTGAAAGCCTGAAGGTCTCCAAATTAAAAATTCCTTTAGATCTAAAAATAGACAACCAGAAGCCCACTAGTTTCCCCAGCCAGAACATCTGGATTCAGAACATGAAAAGAATATAAGTTAACCACCTCTCTTCTAAACAATAGCTGACAATGGTTTAATTAATACTTTTCAGCAAAAAAATAATGTGAATTGAGAGTTTATTTTCCACATTATACATTTGTTACCAGAAGCATTTAAACACTTGTTAGAACTGAAAAACAGTAAAAAAAAAACAAAAAAACCCCCCTCACCTGAATTCATTTAAGGCATCCACAATCCTGTTATATGCCAAATTCCGTTGGCTGGCATCAGCTGACCGACGGCTTGTTTTCATAGCCTTGAAAAAAAATGTTTAAACTAATATCAGACAAAACTCCAAGTCATATGCTATGCTTTATCTAAAGTGGACTTGAGCAGGCAAACAGAGGGTAGGTTTGTTTTTTTTTTGTTATGTCTGTGTGTGGACTTCTTTTTTAATGCGATAAATATTGTCCCTTGATAAGTTTCATATCAAGATAGAGATATGTGAGGAACAAGTATTTACACTGTCCCTTTTTTCTACACTCTTGCTTGCAAGAGGCTATAAAGAGGCCCAGGTTTTCCCACACTGCAAGAGCAGATTCCACGTTCAAACAAATCCTTCAATTAATTGCCTGCACCCAATAGTAAATATCATTCATTGTTAGAGAGGTAGGATTTGTTCTCTGAACAAGGGGCAGAATGCAGGTTAATGTGAGTCATAATCCTAAAGTAATCAGATCCATTGTTCTCACCTCTTTATCTCTTTGAAGCAAGTGACTAGGACCCAATTCAGAATTCACATGGTGTTCCATCATGTGCTCCCCACTATCACATAGATATTCCCATATCTGATTTAAGCTCCCTGTGGTTTTGTGCAAACAGGAATGTGCACAATGCACTGCATTCATGTAGGACTACAACACAGGGCACTTTCCACCACTAAAATAGAGTACAGGAGCTTAATAGACATAGTCGTCTATCTATCTATTGTCCATTTTACAGCCTGAGAATTCTCCCTAAAGCCCCGAGGGATTTCTATGCAGAAGATATAACAGGAGGTCATGGGTTGAAGAAGAGGAAATCTTATTCTGCAAGCAGAAGTCAATTTCCACAGCTGTGGATTTTGTATATTTTTAACATATGCAGAGGAGAGAGAATGGCAGAACTATTCCTTCAACTCACTAAGGCTAATTCCAATAGCCATGCTCTTATTCCATATCAGAGCTAGCTGGAATCCAACCCACCCTAAATTTGGCAGCCTTTGTCTACCATATGCTGTGCACTCATAGTCAGTGCACCCAGTGCTGCTGACTGTATATCTGTGGTATATACCAAAGCAAGACTGCAGAGACTTATGTCATCTGCCTCACTCAAGGCGATTGCCAATTGGCACACTGACTGCTTTTCAAAAGCTTTTTGTGATTATTTCAAATGTGCTGCTGATGAAGTGCCCTACCCAAAGTATCATTTAAAAAAGAGGGGGGAAATGGTACTGGACTGTGATACAGTCTCCCTCACAGGCGAAACAAGAATGGGCAGTGGGGTCATAGTGGTGAGGCAAGAGGAACAGTCCAGGATCACAGCAAAAGAGTCCACAAAAGACACCAGATCACTGATGCAGAATATGTTACGGCAAACTCTCTCATGCATATCAATGCACCCCACGCTGCATGGAGTGTCTGCATGGAGTGACTGGGGTCCCAGCAAAATAGTACCCACCATTTGAGTACCAGCAAACCTAAATCTGTCTTTGGCCCGAGTCAGCCACTGGTTGGCCCCATGATATAGAGGAGGAGATGCAGACACAGGTTTATGGAAGAGTTGCAGAAGCACCTTCATATCAGGGTATAGAGAATATGCTAATGTACCCAAAGACACCTGTCTATGTCAATGGCATGACTATAATTACTATTCCTGTTTTTGGGATGTAAATACGTTTCAAAGGGAAGCCCAAACAGCTCTGGCAAGATAATTGAGCAGAAGAATTATAACTAGGAATTTAACTCAGACATCTGTAGTCATAGCTATTAGACCACGTAACTCAAAACTAACTAAATCAGCTCAGCACAGCCTTTTCTTCTTGGCTACTTAAGAGTGATCTCAAGAGTTTTATGCATTGCCCTGAAATAAGACCACTCTCCAATGTTAGCATTATGGAGTCTGCATGTGCATTGCCAGCTTGGTCTAACACAATATTTCTCAAACTTGGCAACTTAAAGATACATGCGGACTTCAAACTCCCAGAATTTTCTAGCCAGTATGTTTAAATCCACACTTTTTAATTTTGTGAAGGTTGAGATGAACTGGTCTAATGCCTCTAAATTAATTCTCATAAGTCTCAATCTTGCAAATTAAACTGGTAAAGCCATATCATAAAATAGATTTAGCAAATAAATTAGAAGTATGTATAGTTGATGATAGTATTTACCTGTTCTATTGCACTCTTCAGCTTATTCATATGGCTCTCAAAAAGAGGGAAGTGTGAGAAAAAGAACTCATTAAATTTGCTATTTTCTTCTTCATCCTTTGAAAGTGAGAATATCACCCCAATTGCTATCTTCTTTTTCCTGACAATTCCTGGATTTGGGCTGGAGTTGTCATCTGATAAGTTAAAGCTTTCTTCCACTGACCTTTATAAGAACCAAAAATGAAGAAATGCAAATTATTTGAAATGTTTCGAACTATATCGCAGGTAGAACTTTGATACAGTAAAATAACCCCCTCACTTGTCATTTAAAAAAAAAAAGATAATCTGAAATTAATACTAGATCTTAGTCTCTGAGTCTCAACCAGCATGCTTGTTTCTGCTATTAATGCCCAGAGTTCTAAATATCATAGAATTGTGGAGAACCATTTAAATCACCGATCGCAACCCTCTGCTGTGTACAGGAATCCAATTCAAGTAATCACAACAGCCCAACCTCTAAACATGTCCTGAAAACAGCTCTTGCAGGACAATTTTCCACAACATTCAGCTGGAATATGTTGTCATATTAAATCTGTTATTCCAAATAGAATCAGCACCCTTACCATAGCTGCATTCTTTGTTACATCATTTCAAGAATTTGAAATATTCCATCACATTTTTTTCATCTTCTCAAAGCTAAACATTCCCAGTTCTTTCCATTTTTCTTCATGTGACTTAAACTTTCATTCTCTTTGTTATTCTTTTAAATGGTCTCCAATTTCCTCTTTTAATGCCCAGAATTGTACACAATAATGGAGGTATTGGAGGTAATGGAGGTAATAAATATAGTAGAACAAGAATTTCCCGATATTTGGAAGCTATCTCACACTGCCAGTTCATATTCAGCTTTCTCACAGGTACCTTTGCCAGTCTTCTCCATCTCTTACCTGTGCTTTTTGTCTCTTTGCCCCTTCTTAACCCATATCTTCATGAAACTTTATGTTGCAATAGGCCTATAGTCTATCGCAACATGAATGTCCCATAAAACAGTATGCTCTAGTTTCCATTCATACTTTTCAAATAAGATAAAATGGAGTGGGGGAAGTAAACTCCATTGAATTAAAAGGAGTCATTTAGATACTGGGAAATAATATGGAGCAAAGCAACTGGAGTAATTGTGTTTCAAATGATTAGGTACATAACTCTAATGCATAAGTGAAACCCACAACATAAAATGAACATTAAGCTACGTTCTACGCTCGCACCATTATCCTAAAACATTTACTCTCTTGCAGGAGCACTGAAAGGTACACCAAGACGTTGGCTTCCAGTCAGTCACCCAATCACACCTATATACATTGTGTGGAAATTCAAACAGCATTTCTAGTCTGCTCACCATCTTGGGAAGACTCCATTCTCCAAGCTTGTCGTCTGACTGCGACGCCAGCGCCGTTGGTAACTGCTAGCACAGCTTCTGTTCAGTGAAGAACCCGGAGATGGAAAAGGAGTGATAAGCAGGCTGCTAAGAGATGCTGCAACAATTAAATAAAAAAAAAGGAAATTATGTTTAAAAAAACATTTCATTCAAATGAAACATAGGTTTATTTTGTGAATGTGAGAAGCAAAATCTGAACATATGTAACTATTATTGCTTGAAAGGCTTTCTCCTTTCTGTAGTGGTTATATGTTTCTTCTTCTTCTATAAAGTAACCCAGATGCCAGATACAGACTCACATCCATATTATCTTTATTTTGTTTTGCATCCTGTCTATAGACTGATACACACAGGATGCACTGGAAGAAATGTTTTTTTTACAGGCTGCCTCCACCGTCAAACACTTATCTTAAAATTATCTAACCCCACAGCAATACCTTTATAATGGAATATTTCTTTCTGCTAAAACACGATCAAGTATTTTCAAGTTGCAGCATTCAGCAAACTGTTTGGCGAGTTATTCTTAAGAACGTCTAATACATTTTATGGTTTTGCTGAACTAGCAAGGAATATTATGCTAAGCCATGGTTTGCTTACCATGAATGAAAGAAGAATTGGCTAGGTTCAGTATTGTATCAGATAAGAAAACATATTAAGCCTTAGTAATCCAACCAAAAAGATATACAATGGCAAAATAATTATACAATAAAAAAACCCCAGGCCCTTATGTTACTAATAAACAACATTACCAGATCTTGCAATTCCACTGTCTCTGTCTTCATTCAGCTCTCTGCCAGGCATGTCCATAGGGTTGCTGTGAACTATGCAGAGAAGACCAGCCATTAATCCAAGTTCATAAAACCTTCGCACCATCTCATGCTCCATTTAATTTACCAAATAATCATGCTCATTGGTGACTTCATTTAGAACTTTGAAAATAACAGCAAGGCATACCCATCACCAAGGAACACTGCAAAGCAGATCTAGTCATACACAGGTAGCTTCTATAAAGGTTCAGGCAGTATTGGCAGCCCACCTCTTCATTTCAACAGAAATGAAATATTATCGAAAAAGTGAGGTTAGCCATGGAGCAAAAGCACTTGGTACCAAGCTGTAAGCAGTGCTAAAATAAAAAGAAGAGTATGACAAGCACTATACGATGGGTGCTCTACAACGCATCAGATCTGGATTTGCACTTCTATTGCTTCTGCAATTAAGCATGACACTATCTGCATTTGCAGCCAATTCTTATTCACCAGAGGCGAAATTCTAAGCAGAAGCTAGAACTCCAATCTGCCAAATCAAAAGTTTCTTGATCAAAATTATTTCAGAAATCATAGATTTGCAGATCCACGAAAAGAAAAGAAAAAAAAATCTAAATCAGCCATGGAAATAAAACTTGGATAATGGAAAGCCAAACAGGAGCAGCTTAGTTCAGGTTTAAGCAAATGGTGAAATAAAATGTTTTTTATCATTAAGATTAATTCAGTTTTGCAGAAGCTAATGAGTAATCCCTATATAGTTAGGGATTTCCAAACCCCAAATGATTTCCTCAGTTTGACGTGAATTGAAGATGATAGAGATTTCACTTTTGGAAGGAGTGGGGGAGACCTTATTGTCTCTTCTGTGACTAAAGGTCTTATTTCCAAGGCCAAACTACAGATCCACTCAGTTTTGTCAAACCAACTAGTCTATCCATACAGCACATAGCAAACCTGCAAAGAAAGAGGCGCTCCGGATCAGGCGGAGCGGACCTTGTTCAGAGAATGCCCGCCTAGGGCTGCAAAGCTGTGAGAAACCTACATGGCAAAATGTAAAATACACATGAAAGAATGAGGTTAGTAAAGCAGAACAGATTCTGTGGAGGGGAAGATGTAAGCCAACACAAACGCAGACCCACAAACACAGCAAAACCCACACCTTTTACACCTGAATACAGTGTAGGACTTCAAACTGTACTGCCTTCCCAGATTTACGTATCAGTTTTAATGCAGGAGGGTTTTTCCCCCCATTCTGAATAAATCAGTACATGAGGTAAAAGCTTCAAATAATTACTAATTACAACACGAGTACATATATGGACGGCCCTGATTATGGACTGGTATTAGTTTGATGATACATCAAGCACCTAATAATTTTATAAATGTAGAAAAATTCTCTTTATCTACCAAAACTTATTTTCTTAAGTTTTTCTGGGCTGAAGAGATGCCTTTTGCTTTAAATGTTTATATGTACCTGTGCGGAGAATAAACCTTATTTAATAAAAATCCTCTTTGTAGAATTCTTCCCCTTCCCCCAATTGTCTCAATTCACAAATCCTCATAGTAAACCCATAAATAATCTATTTTGAAAACAGATTAAAATCTTTTAAAGGAACAACAGGTAGTCCTCAATTTACAACAGTGCATTTAGTGATCATTCAAAGTTACAATGGCACTGAAAAAAGTGACTTATAACAACATTTTTTACACTTACGGCCATTGCAGCATCCCCATTGTCATGTGATTTACATTTGGATGTTTGACAACTGGTTTCATATTTATGATGGTTGTAGTGTCCCGGATCATGTGCTCACCTTTTGTGACTTTCTGACAAGCAAAGTCAATGGGGAAGCCAGATTCACTTAACAATGACGCTACTAATTTAACAACTGCAGTGATTCACTTAATAAATGTGGTAAAATCATAAAAAGTCATATAATAGGGCAAAACTCACTTAACTAATTTCCCACTTAGCTTAACATAAATTTTAGGCTCAATTGTGGTCGTAAGTTGAGGGCTACCTGTAATTTGTGTACTTGCGCATGCACACTTAACTTCCACATATGAAATATGACATGAGGGAGGCAAATCACTTTGACATACTGTCCCTCAGCCCAGATTGTAGCCTTCTAACAGGAGTTGTCTTATTGCCCGCTCACCATTTCCATGGCAATGGAGCCAGAGTTGGCAGAAACAAAAACATAATGCCTAGGGCACAGTTCTACATCCCTTTGACATCTCCCCAAGGACCCTTCAAAAGATGATCCATAGTTTTGTCTTCTACCCCAAAGTCTCAGTTCAATCCAATTTTCCAGCTCTAATGAATGACAGATAATTTTTTTTTCTTAGCCTCATCCAAATCCTTGTGGAATTGATTTATTGCCAGAAAATGAAATGAAAGGAGACCTTTATCTCCCTTATGCCTCTGAGTAATTTCACGTTCACATCTTGTTTCTAACCAAAAAATGTCATAATACTTTCACCAAAGCAAATGGAAGCTAATGCTGAATGCTGTGCCTAGAATTCTGGCCCTGTGTGTGAAATTTTCTTCCCTCTTGCAAGAAAGATAAAAAAATGTTTTGAGTTGAATGAAAGAAAAGCATTCCTTGTACTTTCTCTTCTGTCAGAAGAAAATAAGAACAGTATCCTTTGATCACAGATTTAGGTGTAAATCACTAGTAGTACAGGGAGTTCTCAACGTACGACTGGTCGCTTAATGACCATTCAAAGTTACAATGTATCCCCCAAAAGCTATTTACGACTCATTTCCAGAGTTCTGATGACTACACAAACCCCTGTGGTCATATGACAGTATTAAAGGCACTTGTCAACCTGCTCACCTTTACCGCTGGTTGAAGCATTTTTGGGTCATGTGACCACAATATAGGATGTCTTGTTAGTTTCTGGCATTTTCAGAACAGCCATATAAATATATTGATTGGTGAGCTAGCATTATATAACTATATTGATGATAGATAGATAGATAGATAGATAGATAGATAGATAGATAGATAGATAGATAGATAGATAGATGACCTATTATAAAGCTCCTGCCAAAAAAAGTCATAAAGTTAGGCCTGGTCACACGGGTGCTTCGACTTATGACTGTTATGACTTACAACAGAAATTCCAGATTCCATTACAGTCGTAAATAAAGGACTACTTCCATGAATAACAGAATGATGACTATTGAACCCGGGACTTCTCTTCACTGTGTGTGGGTGTAGGCATGGATTCTAATATTCAAACAGCTGCACAGTGTAAAAATTATTTTCTAGTTGCTTCAAAAGATGGTAAGCAGAATTACTAAGTGTTCCACCAGAAGAGAGATGGGTTGGAAAGGTTGGCTAACCCACATACAAAAGCACACAACAACCTTCTGAAAAACCCAAGAATTAGCAAGAATCAATGAGTCATAAGTATTCATAAGTATTCTTTCCATTTGATTTAGCTTCTAGAACTGCTCTGGTTACAGATTAACTCATTTTTGTACTGCCTGACTCTGAAGCATGGACTGTAAACAAATATTGATGAGCAGATTATGCATTAATCTAGGTTTGTACGGTTTTTTTAATATGCAAAACTACAGAAAAATAATTATCTTTCTTAATATACTGCATAAAGTGACGTATAAAAGTAAAATCCAGTACTTTTCTCTCTAGGTTTTAAAAATACATACAAATGGGCTGTTATTAAGTTCAATGGTTAGCAAAAAGCTATTTCTTTTATTCAGGAGACTGTAATTATTCCAGTGTATATATATAGGTAATCTTAGACATGCTACTATTGGTTAATGTAGGTCCAGAATTACAGCAGTCTCAAAAAGGGTGCTTTATGGCCCATAAAGAACTTCTGCCTGTTGCAAAATGTTGCACACACCCCCATGGTCCCTTGATTACAATCTGGGTGCTTGGCAACCTATTTGCATTTATGACTGGTTGCCAAGCACCCCACGATCATGTGATCATCATTTGCTATCTTCTCTGATGGCTTCCCCAGAAAATCAATGGGGAAGCTGGCAGGAAAGAGTGAAAGCTGTTACCCCGCACAAAGATAGCTTCCTCTCAGCTCTGAAGGTGGGCTGAAAGAGCTGCCTACAGAGAGGAACTGAACTCATTTGATGGAGTGCAGAAATGGAGCTGAAATCCTAAAGATTCTTCAGAATTTCAGCTCCATTTTTGTACCCTTTAAAAGGAATTCCCTTCTGTGCAGTGAAAGAGCTGAATTCCTTCAGCAGGGTGCAAAAACAGAGTTGAAATTCTAAAGATTTTAGCTCCATGCCTGCACCCCACCAAAGGAGTTCCCTTCTGTGCATAAAGAGGACCTGAAATTCTTTAACAGGCAGCTCTTTTAGGCAACCCCCCCGAGACAAGAGGGAGCCAAAATCCAAGCAGAAGGAAGTGTGGAATGCCTCAGGTGCTGAAAATGCTGCTTGGATTTTGGTAGGGAGGGTTTATAAACTCCTGAGTGGAATCTCCGGGGTCTCCCCCCCCGCCCCCCGTGACATCCCATATTTCTTCCCTAGAACTTCATCCAATTAACTCATGAGATGGCTTAAAGACCACAGGCAGAAGTTTCCAAATCGCAGTTGTTGAGAGAAATAGTCTTGTGTGTTTCACTTAATGACTGCTTTGTTCAACATCCAAGATTCTGGTCCCAAATGTAGTCATAAATCAAGGATCACCTATTCATTCAACTATTTGCACTAGCCATTCATCTTCCATTTCTTTTTGATATTACAACTTACATATCTGTTAAGTCAACGACTCTTAAACTGGGCATAGATAAATAAGCAGCATTAAGGAATAGGTTTAGGTTTAGGTTTATTTGGATTTATATACCGCCGTTCTCCCGAAGGACTCAGGGCGGTGAACAGCCAAAGATAAAACACATACAATATAAAATTTAAAAACAATTTAAAGCATATTAAACAAATTTGGCTCATACTAATACAGTACCGAAGAGCTTCAATTATGCTAATTTTACATTATGTAATTATAGTTTAACACTCATTTTATAAATCTAGGTTATACTTGTAAATCCTACCACACTGACATTTTTCCATGGATACGGTGCCTAGTGCACACAAAGCTTCCTTTCCATGCCACTGCCCACAGTGCCAACACATTTGAACATAAAACTGGCTTGCAGTTACACTTTAAATCAGAATTGCAACCCTTGTCCATTGTAGTGATCTGCCATTCTCTGCTGGGGAAGTTTAAATTCAGTAAAGGACAGAGAGGAAAGACAGCAACAGTTAAAATGAGTGTGTTATGTTGTAGTTTGCAGGGATCAGAAAATTATACTTCAATTATTTCAAGATGTACAGTACATGAAAGCAATAGGGTTCCACAAGTAAAAACAAATCGTTTTGTTTTATGTTCTTGATCTTTCGCTTTCTGTTCCAAGTCGGTTTCTAAAAGGTGAGTGATATTGGTCAAATAAATGGATTAAAAGGGCGTTAAGCGAATCTTTCATCCAAGGATGAAGCAATCTCAATATATAAATTCAGTATGCATTGATCTTTCAGCCGCCCTATGGGTTTTGGCACTAGAGAGCCAAATAATTCATTTCAAACAATAAGCAACTAACTACATAAACTGTGTGGGTGCTTAGTCTGAAATCATTCTGCTCAAACAGATGGTGCCTTAGGTAACAAATATAAATGATATGCCTTATAGGAAAAGGAAAGGATTTTGTCTGGATCATCACATTCTTGGCAGAGTGCTATTATTGAAGATTAATTAGACTGCTGAGGAACAGCTGTATGAGTAAGGGCAGCAAACTCCAGCCAAAACCCCCAGTAAACATAATCATGGTTAATAAAGCTCATTCTTCTTATTTCCTTTATGTGTATATGTATGGCTTTGAGTCAGTCTTGATTTCTGGCGATTGTCTGGACAAGTCTCTGCAATTGTCTTGGCAATTTTGGACATGGCTTGCCTCGCCTTCTTTGCAGGGCTAAAGGAGAGTGACTGGCTCAAAGTCACTATCTAACGTTGTGCCTAAAGCAGGAATAAAACTCACCGTCTCTTGGCTTCTAGCCTGATGCTTTAAACCAATATACCAAACTGGCTCTCTTCATGTTTTCTAGGAAATGCTTAAAAAATAAAGGATAACTAAACTAAAGAGTGGAAATGCAAGGCACCCGGCAGAATTTCTGCAGCTTCTCTGAACAATTATGCAACATTATTATGCAACATTATTTCATTGTTTAATGAAAAGAAGGACTTGGGGAGACATGATAGCAGTATTCCAATATCTCGGGGCTGCCACAAAGAAGAGGGAGTCAAACTATTCTCCAACGCAGCTGAGGTCAGGAGAAGAAGCAATGGGTGGAAACTAATCAAGGAGAGAAGCAACTTAGAACTAAGGAGAAATTTCCTGACAGTTAGAATAATTAATGAGTGGAACAACTTGCCTCCAGAAGTTGTGAATGCTCCAACACTGGAAGTTTTTAAGAAGATATTGGATATCCATTTGTCTGAAGTGGTGTAGGGTTTCCTGCCTAAGCAGGGGGTTGGACTAGATGACTTTCAAAGTCCCTTCCAACTCTGTTATTCTATTCTATCACAAAGGCTCCCTGAACTCTGAAGAGCAGTATTTGTAGGGGCATAGGAGGCTGCAGCATGGTATGAAGTGGGGACCTCAGAGTTCGAGTTGATGGTCTCCCAAGTCAACTTAAAAACTTTTGGGAAGAACAAGCCAGTCTTCTTGTTTGAAAACAACTGTGCTCCTGTTCATTTTCCTCCTCCTGCTGTCATGTGTCCAAAGCAGTTGATGTGAGTTATGTCATGTATATGGTATATGAAACATATTCATGGATCAATAGATCCATCATTGTCTCTGCAGGCTGTGATGACAACCAAGGTCAGCAAGGATAATTTTTTATTAGTGGCAGCTGAGTTATTACTGCAGTCCTTTCAGGAGACTGATAGTCATGATCCATGCCCTACATTCACTTGTTGGGATTCATGCAAAGCAGCTACATAGCTTTGCCAGAAGGGTCAACTGATGAAGAATACAACTGTCACAATTTTAATTACTAGATGCTGCTTATTATGCAAACTTTGGAGGGAACTGTCCCATGTGAGCTGTTAGCATCTTTTTCTGAAGTATTTTTCTTTATTATCCTTTCACCATCTATGGAGTACCATATTTTTCAGACTATAAGACACACCGGTGTATAAGACACACCAAGATTTCGAAGAGGTAAGCAAGAAAAAAAAAGCTTTTGCCTTCCACGGCCCCCAGGAGCACTCTGCAGGCCTCTGAAACCCTCTGCACATCCCGGTTTTTGTAAAAACAGGGCACGCAGCGGGTTTGAGAGGCCTGCAGAGTGCTCCTGGGGGCTGGGGAGGGCAAAAACGCAAAGCATGGGTGGTTTGGGAGGCCAAAAATGGGTCAGTTTTTTGCAAAAACAGGGGCATTTTTGCCCTCCCCAGCCCCCAGGAGCACTTTGCAGGCCTCCCAAAGCCTCTGCGCGCCCTGTTTTTCCGAAAAACGTGACGCGTGGGGCGGGGCTTCAGGAGGCCAAAAATAGCTGTATTCAGTGTATAAGATGCACCAACATTTCCACCCTCTTTTAGGGGGTTGAAGTGTGTCTTATACTCCAAAAAGTACAGTAGTACACCTGCATTACAATATTTTGGGGTCAGGTGAAAACTCACTTGCCAGACACTTTTATTTATTACCAGATTTAATATTTTAAATATGTTATTTGTTATTATATTGTTGTGATTGCCCTGAAATGTAGAATGAAAGCGAATGTAAGTATTTAAGCTAAAAAAAAACAACTGAACAAACCAACTGGAACTATGAACTATATCTCACATATCACATTCTTTACATATTCACATGATAATAAATATATAATATTTTGTGATGTGCACATGTTTAAATAGTATAGTTTTATCTAATTAGAATAGAATTCTAATAAGGGAAACATTTCATAGTTTATATTAGGCTAATGGATATTCTCATCATAAAGAGATTTCAACTGACTTCATCAACTTCTTCCAAATAGTCACACCGCAGTAAACATTTTCAAGTGTCATGAGCTGTGTTTGAACTGAGAGTAATGGCTGCCTTAGCTCCACAAAACTATAGCATTTCTTTAAAAAGATATTTTAGTATGGGTCAGATTAATCTGTGTCAATCGTTAAAGGTTTTATCTTGCAAGTAAGAAAATTACCTATGTTCATAAGCAGTCCATTCATAACTGTGGTATGATCTGGCTTCAAAGTATTATTATCTTGATTAATAAACTCAAGACTGTCTTGAAGCCTACAGGGAAAAAAAGAAAGAAAGAAAACAATCTTCTTTTGTGACGTTTGCCTTTAGTTATCGGTTCTGTCTTACCCCCCTTTTCCCACTGCACCCTTATGTCTTCTGAGAATGAAAGAGGAATCCTTAGAGGAAAAAAAGGAACTAGCAAGAGACAATCTATTCTCCTGAAGAAACCAAAACCACCGGTCTCTATCACTTCCTAATGATCACATGCTCTTTCTAATGTACTCACGTGTTTAAACTTCCATAAATACTGCTTCCTGTTCGAGCTGTAAAAACTTTGCTCAGCATAAGCTGTGGAGGAGAGCTGTGAAGCCAAGAGAATAAGAATGAAAAGATGTCCTCATCAAACAGCAATCCACATTCATAGGGGCACTAGAGTATACATAGTCTCTCTAAGGCAGTGCTTCTCAACCTCAGCCACTTTTAAGAGGTGTGGACTTCAACTCCCAGAATTCTCCAGCAGGCATACTGGCTGGGGGATTCTGGGAGTTGAAGTCCATACCTCTTAAAAGTGGCTGAGGTTGAGAAACACTGTTTTAAGGTTCTAAATTCTACTAAATTCATTACTAAATGAACATTCCAAAGCATTCCCCAAAAATAGTGGGTTAAAGGGGAAAAAAAACCAATTTATTTAATTATATTAAAATAGGGTTCATTTGCTTTTTCCTCATGTTAGCTAATCATCATAAACACACCTCAATTTTAGGCATGAAGCACATAAGCACATAAAAGCAATACTAAACACCAGAAACCAACAATCCTGCTCTGAATTTTAAGAAAGAAACATTCATGCGATAATACTTTTCTAAGAGCCCTGTTTTGGAAAACTCATTGTAAAGTTCAATTTTACTATATAAAATTATTGCAGGATCCAATCTGGGTCGGTCACTGGGACCATGGGATTTCCATACTCTTGGACTCATGCTGGAGCCCATCTTCAGGGAACTTCTCTCTATAAAATTATTTGTAATATCCCAAATATATGGGTCTACTATTGCTCTTAAATCCCATCAGAATCAACCTTAATTTCTGTAGACTCAACCCACCCTGTGATGAGCTTAACAGATGGCTGCATTATTTTTTCTGTAAAAATTATATATTCCATGTTTTTCCACACTGAAGGACAACTAGGGTAATAATGGAACAGCATGCTTATTTGTGAGCTGTGGGATTCTGGCTTTAAATATATACAGATGAAAAGCACACAAAGTAACTAGCTGGGGATAAGCATATCAAAACCACATAATTAAAATTATTCTGCACGTACTCAACAACATAAAATTCTGGAAAGAAGTACTTGACTACAGCAGGGGTGATGGAGGGCTTTGACGTAATTAAGGCAATGAAGGCTACAAAATGGATAGGGCCACTTGAGAGGGTCTTGGGAACAGTTTTGGAAGGTTTGGGCCATTTTTAAATAATGACATGCCTACTTAGTATTTATACTCCATATTTATTTCCCACCTCATATTTCCCATAGCATCCAAGTGTGTTGTCAGTTTTCAGTAATCACAATCAATTTGGGTTCCTGGGCTAAAAAATGCCTGTGGAACATCATACACACCTGACCCTCCATCTCTGTCCCACCACTGCCACACTGTACACAGTCCAATATACACAGCTATTGAATTTACCATAAATCCCTGATAAAAACTGAAGGACAGGAAATATGTTTCATTGGGAAGATGTATGGGAACTCCCACCCCACCCCCGTTTTGAATATGGAATGCAAAATCCAACCACCACCATCCCGCTCCAAACCCCAGAAGAATTACATTTCTTCTCCCCACACTGTCCTTTCTATATTATCTTCATACTACAAGAGGTAAAATACCTCCAGAAGTCTGGTTGCAAGGTGAAATAAGATTCTATATAACAAAAAATAATCTTTACCGAATCTGGTGGATTTTTAAAGTTGAACCCTTGTAGCTCATAGCCACAGAGCCAAACATCATCTCCCCAAGCATGTTGGCATCTGAAGAACATCGAGAACCCTGAAAAAAAAAACACTGCTAATAACTACGTTGCCTGGTGATCACTTTTAAGGCATTCTTCAGGTAGGGCATGGGAAATGAAGGAACATGACAACTATAAATACATTCAACAAAAGACGAGTGCATGTGTTACACACACATAAGCCCCATCCTCAGGTACCAAGATATTATGCGGGTTCATGTTGGCTCTTTAGATTCATAGATCTAAATGTTGCTGTAGATGGCAGCTGTTCCTCATGCTGAAAATAATCTTCGGGCAGAATCAAAATCTTCTGCACCTGCTGCTGCTCTCCACACATTAACTGTTGTGATTTTATGGCAGGTGTGGATGCCAAGGGCTCCAACATATGTGATGCAAAATGAATGGGATCACATCTCACATGTGGCAGGGCCAAGATTTTACTCGGTGTTTGAACATGTGAACAGGGATTGTTTTCAGTTTTTTTCTTCTTCTTTCCCTTTCCCTTGTTTTGCACTAAGCCTGCTTGAGGGCTTACGCTGCAATTTTCAGACTTAGCACTTCAATATAGTAGGAAGAGACGCTCCTGACATTTGACCAGAGGGGACTCATGATGGCACACGCAGCCCCGGAGTAAAAAACTGTTCACCCCTATCTTATGGCTTGCCTTGCAGGACATCATGTGCCTCAAAAGCCTGATCTGCTGTCAGTTTTCCTCCTCGCTTCTTATCTTGAGCAAATACTCCAGGCACATGGACTTTGATACTCTCTTGGTATTTGGCCATTCTGTCTTAAAGGATGTAATTTGATTTGATGGGAGAGGTGCATATTGGAACTAAATCCTGTGAGAAAAATAACAAACCCAGTGTAACATAATAGTCTATTGCCCCATAGATATTTCTGCCTGTGGATTTAAACCAGTAATACAGAATGCACAACTCTTTGAATAGCTTAGTTCACTATATTGTATCTGCTTTTAACATGAACACAGCAACTTCTGCACTCAAGGGCTTAGAATTTCACACACTTTCCATACCTGCTGTCAGAGCACTTAAAACTGTTAGGCAGTAATCACATATATCACACTACAGGATAATAATATATGCCTCGATTATCCTGTAGGTACTGGCATTTTGTACCATAATGGGAGAAATGTTTCTAAGTATCAAGGTACCTGACAGGAAAGAAAATTATTTTAATGGTAAACAAGATTCTAGGTTATTTTTCCATCAGGAAACAGAAATAGTTACTCTGTCAATTATAATCAAAACTGCCATTTATACCAAATTGTAAAATCAAATATAATAAGATGAATTGACAAAATGTAAAACAAAATAAGCTTGTATTTTGATATTCTATATAAATGTGTGTGAACTTTTTAATACACTATTTAAGACATCAACCATTGCTAGATTTAGGAACTTGAAGAACATAATTTTCAAGGGGGGGTCACCAAAAAACCAAAAAACACCCCCCAAATAATGGTTTGATAAATCCTTAGGCATCAAGCAAGAAAATTTGCTAGATTTTTCTTCTTTCTAGAAGAAAACCCGGATGATTTTACATGGATTACTATAGAAGCTATGCATCCCATGATGCACTTCATCTGTTCTAGAAATGCATTAGGAGATAATGAGTTTTGGCTGATCTCATGGATAGTTAAAATTTTCCAGTTTCCCCAATTTTAAAGTTGTGTGAAATTTTCTTTACAGGTGTGTGTGTGTGTGTGTGTGTGTGTGTGTGTGTGTGTATCTTACATGTAACTGACAATGGTGCCCACTCAGATTAGAAGCAGAATTTACACAACATGCAAATAAAACATGTAGATGTTTACAAAACTTACTGTTATACTAATGATCACAAAAGTAGAGATAAACACCTGCATTTTAGACTCTTGCAAGACTGATTTTAGCTATTTTTCAATGACAGATAAAAATGGATGAATACATTTATAATAATTTATATTGGCTGCCACATATTAATATCTCTGCCATTGCTTCATCCCATAATTGTTCTATACAGTGAAAAATGTCCAATTCATGTACATGTGAAAAAACACCTATTGTCAATCCATATTGTTCCTTCACAATCCTATCATCATGGCATAGGTGTAGATCAGGGGTGTCAAGTGGGCCGGATCCGGCCCACAGGGTGCTTAGATCTGGCCCACAGGCCTGCCCTGGAAATAGCAAAGGACAAGCCTACAGTGCCTCTGCCAGTGAAAACAGGCTCCTGGGCTCCGTTTTGGGCTGCGATGGCCTCCTGTTTTCGCTGGCAGAGGGTTGCAGGAGGCCATCACAGCCCAAAACGGAGCTCAGGAGCTTGTTTTCACTGGCAGAGTGCTCAGAGTGCTCAGGCCACCACAGGCGTCCCTGACATGAGTGTCATTGAGCTGGCCACGCCCACCCCACCAAGGTCAAACAACCATGATGTGGCCCTCAATGAAATTGAGTTTGACACCTCTGGTGTAGATCATGAGAAAACACATTGCCTATTACCTCCTTGTCATTCAATTATAGAATGAAAAAAAAAATGATCCCTCTCCATTAACAGAATATTAACAGGCTGGGCTGGGCTGAGAGAGGTTTTATTAATAAAGTTTGCTCTGCTACATAAATGTTAATTTTACTATCAACAATGTCTTAGCAATGATGGCTGTTGGAATCTCTCATCCCTGAAGATCAGTGGCTGGTGGAGAGCAGTAAGAAAAAGCTTTGCTTGTAGATGTAAACAATCTTGTTATCATTTAATAACATGTGTATCATGTCCTGCCGCTTTTGACAAATAAAAACCCGATGTCCATTCTACATTTTACAAATTAACTTTGCAAATACTTTGCACATCTATTTATGAAAAAATCGAATTCCATTGTGTTAGACATTTACATGCAGTTCCTTATATTTACCTTATCCACTCCCTCTGCACCTCTTAAAGAATTTACGTGGTCTGCCTCTTTAATTCTGGATGCAGCACATTCATTGAATATGGGATTACTTGGCAGAAAGCACTGATTGAGACAGAGATCGTTTTTTAAAAAACCTCTTTGACATGGAAGTTAAATAAGGTATAACAGGCTGCAAAATGTTATTCTTATTTTCTATTCTAAAAACAGAATTCAACATGATCCCTGTTCTTTCTTCATCAACCCACACATTTGGCCTTGATGAAGAGATTAAAAAAAAAATTTACAATTTTCAATTTAACTGATGCAATACAAAAAAAGATATTTGAGACCAAAAGACAAGGTGTAAATGATAAAATGGGGAGGCTAACTTTTTTAGCAAAGTTTTGCTAAGAGATCAGGTCCACCGGTATCAGTCAAGAAGTCATCCAGAATGTGTCATGTTAGGATCAGACAGTCTTAAACAGAGAACTACTCCACTACAAAGAATAGAAAGGCTCAGCTCTATTTTAGGAAGGCTTAATAGAAAATACTTCTCTCAGCACAAGGTGAGATGACAGAAATACATCAGTCAGATGACTGGCTGTACTAGTAGCCAAAACCTCTCTTAAAGTGTAACTCAGGTTCAGTGAATGCCAGTTCATAACTCTTTTAAAGTGACAGCAAGCAAACATCTATCGTTTAACATGTTCCAACTACTTTCCATAAAATGAACTCTACTGTACAAGCCTTTCAAAATATTTAAAATGAAAAAACAAGTGTGCTGCTTGTCAAGCCAGCATCCTAACCCCTCGAGCCTCTGTGCCCCTTTCCACAATAAAGTTTTAGGATATGCATATTTAAAAAAAGCTAAATTTATTTCTACAAGCCTCACTTCCAGGTAAACTTAGACTGTGAAATTGGCTGTAGAACTGGTTGTCCACTATTCTTCATCATTAATGTTCAGTTCACTGGACAACATCCATTCTGCAGGTAATTGCCTTATTCCCGACTCAGACGATATCAACCATCTGTTCTAGATGGACAATCACCCAAAAAGTTCTTCTTGGCTCAGAACTCTCTGCCCAAAACCCCAGCCACTTCTAACAATTTTAGCACAATTCAGAGGACACTCACCTGAAATTTTGGGCAATGTTCTTTTGTTTCAGTAGAAGAAGAAGAGGAATTGATTGAACTATCCAAAGAAGATGAACTATCTCCTCCAGGTTTGAGCTGGCAACATTTTCCAAACACTTTCACTGGTGCATCACTGCAGAGCTTCTGATGGAGGAAAAAGATGCAATTGCCACATTATTCTTAGCAATCTCCAGACCATTGTGTAACTAATACCTACCACATACAGTGATAACCAGGAAATTTTATATTAACAAAAGTATTTCAATATTAAAGGAATAGAGGAGGTCAATAACTAAGATGAGCATTCAGTAGGTTTTATGTGTGTACCATGATATGGCTCTTCTACAGGGACACCTTCTCTCTAGCTGTGACTGCCCTCTGGAAGAAGGTTCCTCCCTGACTCAGATGGCCTCCATTCTGCTGTTGTTTAAAATAATTTTAATTGGATTTTTAAATTTAAGAATGAGCCCTTCACCCTGGTGTTTGGCAAGGGACAATGAGATCCTCACTTCATTGCACATGCTATTTTTTATCTGCAATGTTTCATTTATTTATTGTAACTTTTTTTTAATTGCTGTGAGCCACCCAAAATTTTAAGAGTCAAACAGCATACAAGTTTAATAAATTATTATGGTTCATCACACAATCAGCCAGATGTTTAAATTGAATTTGGCATTTTTATCCACCTATCCAGTTCTTCCCAAGGACCTGGGATAAGCAAATGTTGTTTGAAGGTGTTATAAAGGTATTGTTGCAGAATGTTATCTGTTGCAAGTAAAGTTGCCTTTTGAATTGACTGATATTCATTTTGTCAACCCCAATTGTGTTCAAGTGGTGATCCAAATGTTTTGGGATGGCACCAAAGTGCCTATTACTATTGGTATTATCTTTGCTTTCTTTTACCAATAGTTTCTACTTCTATTTGCTGGTTTTGTATTTTGTGATTTTTCTCCATTATTTTATTATTGGAACAGTATTTGAAAAGTAACACATTACAAATGACGAATACTTCAAGTTCATTTTGAACATGGACAGGAACACAAATTTATTATCATTTGGAACTCATTAAAACAGCTGCATCTTTTCCCAGGATGTTTTGAAAACATACACATCTAGTTTAAATGAGTTGCCAATAGCTATTGCCTTTGTGCTCCAGTACATTTTAAAGTATGTCTTCTAAATTAAATCCAAAGTACTGTATGCATACTGACATAGATAAATATTTTCTGGTTTTAAAAGTAGAACTACCTTAAAGGAGACTGCCTTAAGGGAAAAACAATGTTAATTCATTTTATACTGTATCACTAAACTTTTTGTCTCTTTTTAGTGTAATCTTAATGTCTACACCTTTCCTAAAAATTCAAATACCAAAATAAATACAACTGAACAATAAAAACAATACAACAAACCTTTGGCAAAATGAATTTATTGCAACAGTATAACTAAAACATTCTTCCCTTGATTCTGTCTGCACCTCTCCGAGAGGTACACCTCCGAGTTTGGAAAATCCTGTTCTTTTTCGATCTCATAGATACTGTACTAGACACTTTTTGATCCATTTATTTTAAATCTAGTCTACAAACATAATTCAGTGCTGCCATTACAACTGTTAACAAATATGGCACACAAGAGCAATTTGCAAGCATGTCTTTTCAACTGCTGGAGTTGATGTCACAGTTACATTCCCATTTTTTTAATTTTAGTCTCTGGCATACAATGGCTTTTTTTTAATAACAACAATTATGGCCACCAAGTAAACGTTCTCTGTGTATTCTGTTATAATTTGAAGGTGGGATAGAACTCCCCCAAATATTCACTGTCTTCTCCAAGAGCTTACCCATCAAATTGTAATTTTTTTTAAAAAGGTAGAAATGGTTCCAGCATTAAGCAAATAGATGCTGAACAGGCAGAAAGTAGCAATGAAGTGCTACAGGTTGTCATTTATGCCCACAAGCAAATCTCAGCGGGGTGTCCCACTGCATGTGCCGAAGTGAAATTTAACTACCATATTGTCTTTCATTTCGACCAGCAAGTACCTTGGCTTGTCCCTAAATTCAAGCCAGCAGTTTTTAAGACAGATTCCTTGAAATGGAGAAGCTATAAAGAAACATGAGAAAACCCAGTTCTAAGCCAGACATTAAAAAATGAGCTTTTATTCTGAAGAGATCTGACATTTCCACAAAGTTTGGGATCAGAGCTGATTCAATGTCTTCAATGAAAATGAATCACAGAAATTCAGACTGTATTTAAAACAGTGGAAGTGCAGCTATTAATCATAGATTGTTCTCCCGATAATAATATTTGCAAAGGAAAACTTTATTGGGGTGGAAGGAAATAAATCAATATGTAATTTTTTTAATGTATGCATTTTAATTCCCCAAGAAGTTGTTACTAAAACTCAGGTGGCACATCTGTATTAGAAAAGATTAGGAAGAAGCCCTGGGATTTTCAGCCTTTCTGCTGTCAAATTCAGTTGAGAGCTGGAAATTACCAAGGCCAGCAATTTAGAGCCCTAAACTACAGTATTATTAGAGAACAGACACTGATTTTATGAAGGAAATATAAACCATTATTCAAAATTCACCCTTCTACCACCTTCAAGGCTACCTTCTGACAACACTTTTCTCATTCTTTAATTGGAGGTAAAGCTAAATAGTACTGGGGAATTAATCCCATAGTTGAAGAAATGCAGACCCAGCTGATCCAAAGCCAGTTTTTTTCCAGAGCTAGAATTTAAGATTGCACTACTTCTCCCAAGAACAACCTCTTATTATGACAGGCCAATGATTAAAAGGACAAAGCTGAACTCGTGCACTGTTAGAATTGCTACTGGCTTCAGTTTTTTTTTTTTTTGGCATACAACAGCTAAAAACATGTGAATAGCTATCATATGATTTCACTAGGAACCCATGAACTAGAATTGCATTTTATCTCTGACAAACAACAGCGTCTTGGACCAGGCTCTGCATCATGTGATAAAACCACACTGAATCTAAGAGTTACAGCATTTTTGTTCAGGCAAGTCACACTAGCATTCAGCTGATGTTGAAGGCTTGCTTAATCATGCTTGGTTGCAAGCAGGCATATTTCAATGTGGGAAAAAAAGGAAAAGAACTTGACCTGGAATGATAGAATACATTTCTCAAACCATACATTTCCAAGCTTAACCTAGCAAATCTACAGTATACAATATATGAACTGTTTTTCAAAAAGTTCTCCTACATATTAGTTTTCTACAAAGCTCTCCTGAGCACTGTATCTTGAATGCATCTTTCTTGACCAAAAATACTGGGAAATGTTATATCTTTGGCCTTTACAGTGGAATGTGATGAACCTCAGAATCCCCATAGGTAAAGAGAGGTCAGATGGTCACCATCTTTTGGATGCCATCTGTCAGCAGCTTGCCAGAGAGCCAATCATACCGAAAATGTGGAAGCCAGACAAATTTTAGAACATGCAAATTTAGAACCAAGCATATGCTCAAAATCAACTCACTGGACATCTGGATCAAATATCTTGAGATGTCCCTCCCCTTTTTTTTCTTTGCAAGGTTTTCAATTCTTAATGTCAATGAAATACAAGATGCAACAAATTGCCACAGATGATGCAACAAAGGAATTGGCTGTTTGCTGCTTCAAGCACAGCTCAAGCTATGTTTCCAAAATTAATAAGGAGACTAAATACTACATATAAAGGAAACTGGAATTTCTGCTCCTTAACTAACATATATGTGTAAGAAGTCAACACAATAAGTACCATACTGCTATGTCCACTGAATCCATGAGGCAAGTAAACAGTATTTTGAACTGGGATTAACACAAGTTTTCTCAATATTGCAGGATTTAATCTGAGTTGGTCACTGGGACCAAAGATTTAATTTTCCAAGGTTTCGGACTCATTCTGGAACTCATCCTTAGTAAACTTTTCTCATATGAACATGTCCCTGAGGATGGGCTCCAAGCATGAGTCCGAAGGCTTTCTGGTCCTGGTGACCGACTCAAATTGGATCCTGCAACATTATCCTGGGACATGTATATTTGCCTTCATTTGTTTCTCTTTCTATTGAAATGAAAGCCATTGTGCTATTTCAGCTTCTAATCTGAAGATCTCAATGATCATGAGATGCTGCAATGTGGAAATACAGAAGTCAAACAGATATAAGAGATTTCCCCCTCTCCATTCCAGATAAGTTTGGACTTCATGTCCAGAATTCCCAAACAGGGTAGAAAAGCTCTAAGAGAATTTGAGTAGTTTTAATACCATATTCTGAATAATGTCAAGTTAGGGGCTGAAATATTCAAACTGCGATCCCGTTGCAAACCGGTAGTAAAGATAAGTAGAACCCACCCGTCAGGAATGTCCTCTTTTAAATCACAATTTTTAAAATCCTTCTCTTTCTGCATGAGTGAACTGAAGCACATGGATATCCATGGAGTTTCTAACTATTTAATTATAAGAAAGCAATTGAAAGGGAAGACATAGGTATCCCCTTCATAGTCAAGTCACTTGAATGATGAAAAACAGAAATTCCCAAGCTCATATTCTGTATGGTCATTACCAGATTGGACCCACTGATCTCTGCTGCCCAACAGAGCTTTAGCTAAACAAGGATTTCATGTCACATTTTAGGTAACACAGAGTAGATGCAGATTTGGTTTCCAGCCTTAATCACACCCATGCCACATGCAGCATTCCCTGTTAATGACAATAATTAAACTGGTCAATTTTGGAGCATTTTGGCCAAGGTATCACAGGCTCATCCAAGCCAAGTTTTTTCCCCCAGACACATTCACACTATTTTATGCAAGATAGTATTTCTAAACTGGAAACTACTTTGTAGTCAACATACTGTTGCTCACATTTACCCAAAATCTGGTACATGCACTTATACACACTATGCAACAATTCTGATGTGGATGGAACAAGCAAAAAACAAAAATAAAACCTTGTAAACAAATAAGCTGTCATGCAGAATTTCTCAGTCCATTAGGAACAATGGACTACTTTCAGATAAACTCACATTTTAATAGGGTAGAGTTTGATATTTTTATGAGGGAAAAAGGGAGTATGCACGAGAGATTTTCAAATGAAACATTGTTCAAGCATGCACCTGCATAAAAAACAGTAAATCAAGGTTTTTACAA